GTCTGTAACCATTGAACCAAACCCGAGAACGAGACTGCTCGGCGGTCTCGGCCACTGTAAAAAACTGCAAAGAATATTAAACAGCGGTGAAGTCCAGCCGTCGTGATACGACTCGACGATCAGGGCCATCTGGTGCTTCCGCCGATTTTCTCTTCAATTTGTTCGGCTCGGCTGCCTTCGCGGACAGTGCTCCGTTGGTGTTTCCGTCAAGCTCCTCTAGAGGAAGCGGCCGCGGAGCAAGTTGGTTGGCAGATTTAGGTAGCTTTGAGGGGTGCGTCGGATAAGGCAAAGCGAAGAAGTAAGGGTGATTCAATGCCTATGGGACCAAAAAAGTCAACTCATTGTTCGCTTTGTTGTTTTTTGGCTTGGAATACCTCTTTAGCACTGATGCGTTTTCGTGGATCGTATATGAAGAATTTTGCGAGGAGATTGAGGGCATCTGCGCTCGCAGCTGTGAACAAATCCCGGAAGGGCTGACGGGGAAATTGCCCAGCTGCAAAATAATCTGGTAATTTGGTGTGCCCCTACGTTGGATGAGGACAAGTGAGTGAACAAGAGAGATTGATGCGCTTACAGGCCACTCTTCTTCGGTCGGTGTGCCAATGGCTCGGAAGATTGTCTTGACTTGGTCCATATCACTTTCTCCGGGAAGATATGGTGTCCGGAGCATCAGTTCAGCGAAAATACATCCGACGGACCAAATGTCCACAGCAGAGCTGTAATATCTGCAACCAAAGAGGAGCTCTGCCGGACGATACCATCTTCACAGCTATGAGCAAGCACGTACTCCGTGAAGTGCTTATGACGTACCGGGTAATAATTTGACAAGTCATGCGAGCACCTGGATCGCTGAAATCTCGCGCCAGACCGAAATCAGCGAGTTTAAGTTGTCCATCAGACGCAATCAACAAGTTGTTGGGTTTCAAATCCTGGATCAAGTCAGTTGGTGAAGATGAACCGCCAAGGGGGCTGAGCGTACTCGATGCAAGATCCAGTTTCGGTGACAGAACTCCAGCCCACGCAATGTCATCGCCATCCAGCTCTTGATATCGGCGGGAAGAAAGACGTTCGAACGATCTTTGATGAGGAGTTCGAGATCTGCGTCTAAAAACTCCAGAACTAAGTTGAGGTTCGTTTTGTGGGAGAATACGTCCAACAGCTAGAACGATACATCAGTTGGTGTTTCCTGAAGGCACATCACACCCTCACCTCGATGACATTGGGATGGTGGAGCTCTCGAAGATATGTCACTTCTCGGATAGCGGACATATCCAACCCATCCTTGAATTGTCCGATCTTGATCTTCTTAATGGCGACTTGTCGACCTGTAGTGATTTCCTTCGCCTTGTATACGACGGCATATGTTCCCTAAGGAAGCCTGGTTTCCTCTTTGAACTCGGAAATGCGTGCGGACTGATGGCATACCTCGCCAACCTTGGCAATTTTAGCCCATTTCTTCGAATCAAAATCAGTAAAATGGACATAATGCATGTCACAGCGAGCTCTGACCTTCTCCCTTTCTTCATTAGCCTTGACAGATGTGTCCATGTTCCGGGAGTGAGACAAAGACCGTTATGTATTCCGGGTTCGACTGTTGTAAGCGTCTGAGTGACCGTGCAGCGCCTCTATGATTTTGAGCAGCTGCTTGAATGCTCCAGCATGAGACCGCCTTGATAAGTAACCCCGAGTCGGTCGAGGTCGACTTTCAGAGAGCACTGACGAGGAGACAAAGATCTTGAGCGTCTAAACAACTTGAAGCCGACTTCATTGGTTTCGCAATGAGCAAGGAATATCCAAATCCCGCTGACAATGCTGAGCCTCTAAACTATAGAGAACAGTTCCAGGTTGTACTAACTATGATCCTGAGACGTATGCCTAATCGTGCTATAGGGAAGAGAAGTGACAACTCGGTTTATTGAGTGAGCCTGACAGTTGTACCTTCCGTCTCTAAAATCCTGACTTCTGTGAAGCCCTTGTGCGGCAGCCTCCAAAGCGTCAATGGATTGCATGGACAAGAATGAATACGACCGAGACAAGTGTCTGCATTTTTTCCAGGCTTACAGAGACTGCAAGTCGACTTGGGTTCGCTACATGGTCGCGGTCGTAGAGCTTTTACTGACGCATTCAGTAGATCAATCAAAGGAGAGCAGACAGACGAGCAGGACGCCCTACGACATAGCAAGATCATTGAAATATACATTATCAGAGATTGGGGAACATTTTGAAACCAAATCGAACGAAAGATCTGGCTACCTCATTCTGCTTTCCAGGAGCCTGGGCCAAAACCCCGAGGCCCAAGGGCCTTGTCAACTACGTCCATCATCGCAATGACCTTTTCGTCTTCCCACTTCTTTCCAACGACTTGAATGCCAATCGGCAGTCCTTTCATCTTCTCCACATTATAAACGGTTTCCTTTGCGAACAAATTCTCCTCGAATATCGGGGAGCCATGGCCCGGCCCGTTGGTCCATTCTTCGGTTACCTTGTCCTTGGAGGGATCCACGCGGGTAACAGGGACGATGCCGACAGGAAGATCGAGCAGATTATACAAAAATGTCGCAACAGCCAGTGGGGATAGCGTGGTGGAAGCCCTGACAAAGGCCTCAGATGGATTTAATGACAGTCAAACGTGACATACTCGTGAGGCAGAGCAGGGGATGCTTGAACCGGAGCTATAATTCCATCAAAAGCGTGATGATCCCACACCTACTTACGATAAGATACTGTATGTCATTGAGTGATATGACATTACCGCAACGTTCCACGCTTTATTAAACTCATTCCGTTGCTTCGCAAGGCCCCAGAATTCCCGAACACTCTTGACTCTTGAATTGCTCAATCCTTCGGTGAACACGGTATCGCCCTTGATAGCCAAGACTACCTTGATCGCAAGCCACCGAATGAAACCTGCATACGGTGAGATCGACAACAGGATGCAGTACAATCAATTCGCACTGTTGAACTTGGGTCCCAATGTAACCAAGAATAAACTCTTTTCCTAGTAATTTCGTTGTAAGTATATGTCAAAATATCTTGGCTTGTCTCATTGAGGCGCATGCATACCTTTGGGTCCGGGCCTAATTGTGACAATAACGTCGCATATCCATCAGCTGACGTCAAGCCAGCGAAAATACCCATGGCAGGCCTAGCTGTCAGTAAAAAACAACCTCAGTGCCCTCCTCGCGAGCATATGAGATAAGACAAACTTGGGGGCTCGAATTCCACGCATTCATGTCCGGCCTTTCGCAGGGCTGCCACAGTCTCCAGAACGGCGCGCTGACACGCAGGTGAAGCTTTGATATATCCATCTAGCAGTCTCTTTCAGAGAAGGATTCCTTAGAGACATATTATTGTGTCATACCCGAAAGATAATAGCCAAATCGAAGTTTGGGGTTCAACTTGACATCTCGGAACGGTACTGGAGGGCATGCCTCCACAGCCGTGGGATCGCCAGCACCGAAAAAGGTACGGCACGCGAGTTCAATATCACCAACCGATCTGGGTTCAAGTATCAGCATAAGACACGAGAACGTAATAGATTCGTTGATACCTGGCCATCGGTCCGGTCACGGAGGGTATCGCTTCAAATCCTGGGTTTGAAGCTTTTTGTATCAGGATGTGAGAGGCTGAATGCCCAGGTCGCTGCACGAGAACATACATTTTGCCCCCGAAGTACTGAAGCGACCTTTTCCTGGTTTAAACCCGTATATTCCACAGAAGTGAGCTGGGATCCTGAGACTTCCTCCTGAAGTAGACGTTTGTAAGTCGGTCATGCAATTCAGAAACGCCCTGACCAATATCGGAGCCGAAGCCTAGAGCACTCCCATCTAATGCCAAAACGGCGCCTTCTCCGCCTGAGCTTCCACCACTAGTATGAGCCGAGCTCCATGGATTGGTAGTTCTTCCCCAAAGTGGATTGGCACATTCGAAGGACAGCATGGTCTGAGGCACATTTGTCTTCGCGATTATGATTGCACCCGCGGCCTTCGCCTGTCTCACCAGCTGGAGAAAATGAAAGAGTGAGCATCAACAAATCATAAAGCTGCTTAGCGAAACAGACTTACATGTGCATCATATGTACTCGGCTTGTTGGCCCATCTGTTTTCCCGTTAGCGAATTTTTAATCAGTGTCCATGAGATGGAACTGATCCTCACGTTGTATATCCAATTGTGGCATCATAACCCGTAATTTCATCTGGCAAACATCAGGGGTGGTCCATATCTCAAGTTTACGTGCGATACATACATTGGTCTTTGAATGTGACAGGGACGCCATGGAAGGCGCCCTTCAAAACACCTGTGGCTGCGAATTCTTCGTCGAGTGCCTTGGCTTGTGCTAAAGCATCGTCGAATAGAACTATTTAGGAATTGGCCAACCGATCGGTCAGAGAGTCGATCACAATTGGCGCTTGGACGCGAATCAGGCACTCACTTTCTGTCAAACAATTGGTCTTCTCTTGCGCTACGGCCGCACGACGAATGTACGCATGCACAACCTCTACTGCTGTCCATTTACCCGACTGAATTCCCTGTACGATCTCGGAAGCTGAGCAAAGATAACGCGTCAATCGAAGCCGAGGATGGGAGACAGTTGATCCGCACCGGTAGCCTGAAGCGAAGCCTCTGCGCCTTTGAAAACGTCTAGAGAAGTGACCGTCTTGGAGATACGAGCATCTCTCTCTTTCGTCTTCTGACTGGCTACAGTCTTCCACGAGGAGTCGCTGAAGGGCCACATGATTGTCGCGCGTTAACTTCACTGGCAAATACGAGGTAAATGTTGAGCAATGGGTGTTTGCTTCAACTTTTCAGGGAGTGGTACGGAGGACACCCAAGTCAAGTTGAGCCCGTTTGAACACGCCAGTCTTCTGGATCACGCGAGTATTTAAGTACTCTGAGAGCTAAGCCCTGGATGGGCGCTGAGTCGGCGCAGTTGGGGATCCCTGACCGAGCGCGAATCAAGAACAAGTCATAGATTTATGTTAGGCTTCACTGACATGGTGGCCTTCTTAGCTCAGTGGTAGAGCGCATCACTAGTAATGATGAGGTCGTAGGTTCGACTCCTGCAGGAGGCATACTTTTGAAGTTTTTAGTCTTGCTCCATATCCTCCAGTCCCGTACATAGATGTTGTCTTGATCAATTGAAGACTGTGTTGTGGCTGTTGTCCTTTTTATTGGAACATCAGAATATTGAAGTTCAGAGTGGACCTTGTCAGTTTTTTTCCCAACTGCGCTTGGATACATAACATCTCTGCAAGATTGTTAATTACATCGTTCTACAGCTTACATTCCCAAGCATAGTTAGGCTGGAATCAAAGCTTGCTTGAAACGTAGAGACCTTCCCTAGTCGTGTCAGAAAAGTTTATTCAGCATTTTTGGAAATGAAAGTTCTCGAAACTCATGAGCGCTTACGACGATGTGGATGAGATAATGGCGACTTTCATTCGACTTTTATCGGCTTGAAGTGATACAATCAAGGCCCTTATCCGGAACAGTGGACTATGAATTCGTAAAGGCTTTAATAACGCTTTCAAGACGTACAACACATGTAAAAGTACGACTAGGAAGGAGGAAACGCGGAGTTAAAATGAAGCATTGCCACTGTGCACACCAAGAGGGGGGCGTTGGCAGAGTTTTAGACCTGATCATCGTCAAACCCTCGGACCCCGGAGACTGGTTGGTATCCCCCCCACCTGCCTCATTGAGTAGGAGAAAATGATAGCCGAGTGAGGTCCTGCCCAATACGGAAGGACCTTTTGATGGGACGGCAGCACGGCTTGGTCTTAGCCGACCTTGTTTAGGAAGGTCCCAACAACGCGCGACGCGTCTTGAGGCTCTATTCCAGGACAAAAGATCGATGTAGACGACTTGGAGGTGTTTTTTGACAATATTACGGGTCAGTCAATATTGAACTTATTGTTTCACTCTGTTCCGCACCTTTTTGTAATCGTCCGGATCCCTTTTCCACCTTTTCAGGCGTAAAGTCGTTTTTTCGACGGTGTGACACAACGTTATCCGTGCACGTGACGTCACAAAAATGCTCAGAGACAGTCAAAGCTTATGAACCGGGAGAACCTCTGTTTAAATCGGGAAAAAAATACAGACAACATCTCGACACTAATAAAGCCTCGAATATGGGGTCACCTTGTCTCCAACTATCCCTCAAATACTCTCGACGGGATTTTTGCAGCAAACGCCAGAAAGGGTCTGATCGGACCCCCGGGCACCGTTTTTGACCCCCCCTCGCTTGATGATACATGTCCCCGATCTGGATCTCGCCCGCCTCTTGGTGCACACCCTGGAGCCTTTGTGTTGTAGGTGCCGCCACCTCGTGTGTTTATATTTGTTCCCTTCTCACTCTTCATTGTTCCCCACTCTAAGCTTTCTCCATGGCACAGCTCACAGACCTTTATGAGGTCTTAGACGTCGCCCACGATGCCTCCGCAGAGCAAAGTATGTCGTCATAGGCTCTCCTCGCCAATCAGTACTGACACTGCGCTCCCTAGTTCGCAAGGCATATCGAAAGAAGGCATTGCAGACACATCCTGACCGACTCGCGACCGACGCTACTGAAGAGCAAAGGCGGGCGACTGAAGAAGCGTTTAGGAAGGTGAGCTGATCATTCCAACTGTTCGCGGAATTACAGGCTCATTCCGTTCCAGGTTAGCAACGCGTACGAGGTCTTGAATGACCCCCAGAAGCGACAGGTTACTCTCATTGACATTTTCTCAAATCATTCACACTCATGTTATGACAGACGTATGATGCTAATGGTGTCTGGCCTCCCGAGAGCCCTCAGAACGAGGACTTCAACAGAGACCAGCGACCGCGCCAACGAGCTCGTCGACACCATCATCACCACCACCACAGTCGAGACGGGCGCCGACACCATCCCTTCGGTCCTAGCCCTTTCTCGGAACCATTCTTTGAGCCGTTCTTCGACGTTCCACCGCCAGGTCACTTCCCGGGACCTCATTCTCATTATCGTCCATCCTTCGGTTTCACTGATCCATTCGAACTGTTCAATGGTGTCTTTCGGGACATGAATCGCTTTGATGTCGATCCTTTCTTCTCTCCCACTCACCCACTCTTCTCAAGTCCATTCTCTCACCACGCCGGCATGTTTGGACCATCTATGCTCTCTTCTCCTTTTGATCGCGATCCCTTCTTCGCCGGTCCATTTGGTTCAATGGGTGGATTTGATGGTCCTCACCATGGTGGTTTCTTGGAAGGCTCCTCTCGCAGCTTTTTTGGAGATCACATAGGAGGAAGCGGTGCGAAGTGGGTATCCGAATCACACGCTAGCCGAACCATCAATGGTGTTACAGAAAGCGTGTGGAAACGGACCGATTCAAGCGTATGTTTCTCTCACTATGCTTCAAATTGATATTCATTGTAATCACAGGGCAACGAACATATAACGCGTACATACCCTGATGGGCGCCAAGTCTACACTATTAACGGCCGCGAGCAACGTCCCCCACCAGCAGCGATCTCGAATCAAGCGGAGCGGACTCTACCACCGCCTCCGCCATATCAGGCACAGCCTTCTGCGCAGCCATCCGCTGGTTTCATTCCTCCTCCTCCCACTATTCAAAATCCAGGTATAGGATATGACTTTTAAAGTGTGAATAGCGTTCCTGAAGCCTTTATTAGTCGTGCAGGACGATCACAAGAAGAAATGGTGGTCTAAGTGGTAAATGTTCTCCCTCCCGTTGTCTTTTGCTGTGTTATTTTGTATATGTCGCATCGCTTTCCATTCGCCCCTTTTACGAATTACCCCTCCTGCCACTCTTAATATCGGTTCAAACTCGGCCAATATCCGAACCATCTCATTCCTCGACTGATATCTTGTAATCTCATCGAACCAAACCCCGTGTAGAAGTCTCAAATTTCACTGATTCAACAGATTGTATAGTATGAAAGCCGTAGATCAGAATACAAGTGGTTTGGAATAGGCCTTGGTATCTTCCACTCCTGTCACCCGCAGTCGCATCGTGTTGCAATGGTTGAACAACCGTCTGAATGGTCCCCACGAGAACCATGCTCCTAAAACGCTTATTGCTGACCAAATGAATCATGTTAGGGTTGTGCCATGCAATTCACACGCATTTGCGCTCAAGGGTATACGAAAGGGCATGTTCATTCAGCGTTTCGACCGTTCAGACAAACAGGTGAGAGTTTCGTGGGGGATCCATTGATTAGGTATCCCATTAATACTGCCACGATTTCGCGGCTTGAGAGATTGCAGTTGATTGCGCGGGTCGCCAGAGTCTATGAATTGTCGCATTGTGTGACTGGGAACCAAGTCGATGAGCGGGGAGACTTCTCAGATCAGCGACCATCCCGTGTCGATTTCGATAGGAGTCGTGAGGGTATGGGTAAAGCTATGTCATTCAAAGATGAACAGCAGCAAAACTGCACAGAAACATGTCCGCGTAATCAAATCCTGCTATGAACAAGTATGAAGAACGCAGTCATCTTCATCCACCACTAAATCTTGACAAGTGGAAAGACGGGGGTGGCCTGGGGTAATTGATTTTAAGAGCAGGTCGGTCGGTTTTTCCAGTTGACTATCTGCTGATTGACGCAAAAACGTCTGATGCCAGTATCGCAAAAACGAACATGGACACCCGTGCCGTTAACGGCCTGCCAAGACTAGGCTGCGGGATTCGCTGTTGCGCTGCAAACGAAGCGCGAACAAGAATACAACTTCACGCTATTCTCGGCGCTCTTAAAAGAGCTCTCCAGCCTCGTGTCGCCCCCGCGGGGACACAGACAGGCTTTAACGGTCTGTAGGTGGACGGCGTTCAGTGCATCGGTCACCTCGAGAGGCTTAGAGACTTACTAGGAGCAGAACCGGGACAAGTTGGTCGAGGAAATGAAAGCAGAGCATACCCGTTCACCTACCTTCGAGTTTAGGGCAGGGTCGGCAGGTGGACTGGAGCGCATTTGGAAATTCAGAACTGTGTTTATTAAAGTAATGGTGAAGGTTGAGAAGCAACTGCTGATCAAGGATAGTGAGATCGTGAGCTAACGATACCATCGAAACATTGCACCATAGGTCTATGCTTGATGGACATGCCGCTGTCTCTTGGCCACACTCCAATATCGGATCAAGACAGTCTGAAATAGCTTAGCACATGCTTAGAAACAAAGTGCCTGAATGGTCGACAACGACAGAGTGATGCTGGCGTTAGTTGATCAACGTTGAACTTTGAACCCTACTACGGCCAAGTTTCCAGCCGAAAGATGAGTGGTGCGCCCTGGGACGGCAAAACGATGCTAATCTTGGAGGGATTGATCCAGGTCGCCGGACGCCATATCCAACTCGCACAGTTTGTGGTGTAGTCTGTGGGTTCATCGGCGATCAAGAGCTCATCTTGCCACATTTTGAAAATACTGCTTCCACGGTTTGAGGCTGCTTCGTCAATGAGGCAAGCTATTTGTATCAATAAGCCGGTTCCTCCTTTGCTTTGTTAGACAGATACAAGGTCGAATAGGCCCGAGCCAAGGCAGAGTGGCGAACTGACGAGCGTAGCAGTCAAACGCTGATCGGATCTATCCGAAGCTCTGCTCCTGCTCTGTCGAAATGCAACTGCTACCCGACCATCACAATCAACACTAATTCGGTCTTCGTTGTCGACGGAAAGAAATGAAACGAAGAAGCCCAGCGACGCTTCGGTCAGCCAAGCCCCATCAGACCGTTCCTGGTTGACTAGCGATGTGGTCAATAAGTCAGACCCCGGGGTGGACTGCAAGTATATATAGTGCAGCTCTTACCAATGACTGTTCTCCATTCTCAGCTGGTCGAGAGTCACTTCCCTCTACTAATCATTTTCTTCTTTCCAACGGCAGGTTTGTCCAGTCCCTTCCTGCAATGTCGTGCTCCTGGGCTGATCAACCTGTACCTCGTCCTCTAGGCCCCGTTCTAATTTTTTTTCGACATTTTCCTTTGACCTCAAATTACATTCTTTCAATCAACTATTACAATGGCCGTCTCTGCTAAATTCCGTGCTCTTGTCCTCGTCGCCGTCCTCGCTGCTTCTACTGGCGTTATGGCTGCGCCAGTTGA